CGGCGGTGAGCCAGTCGAGAGACGAGAGGGGCCTGGCCTACGCTTCGAATTGGTTTGGAGGCAATCGATGGATTGTCACGGGATTCCGGAGATTGGCGGAAAAAGTGGGAGAAAGATGGAACTTGTAAATAGTTCGTCTTGCATCGACAACCTCTGCTGACGAATTTAGCGAAATCATCTTCTCTCCGTGTGACTAAAAACGATCGATTCGCTGGATCATTCGGCCATCTCACCGTGATTCAAACATATATCCTAATGTTCTTGCAAAGGGAGTGCCACGTTTTTGTCAAGGGTTTATGCCCTTGGTCGATCAAGGGAAGAAAAAGAAGGTACCAGCTTGAGAAACGCCCCTTGCGTTTCTTTCGTGTCATTCGAGGATATTTGCAGAGGCCGTCGCATGGTCGGCCGTATTGGAAACATTACTGAACGTCTTTGAGAGTTTACGAGTTAGATACTCGATGTAGGGATCGTACCAAGAAAGGAGACCGTTTCCAACGGATTCTTAGAAGCGAGCGTAAGAGGAACGCCGCGCTGGGATCAAGTCCTCATAAATTTATCGATCGTTCTTGCAAAACCCCGCAGAGAGCGGCGTGAACCGATGAGGACAGCGTTTCAGGACTTTTTCCCGTTCCCAAGGTGAATAGAAAGTAATCAACTATCTCGCGTGAAACGAAATTCATGAAATGTTACTTAAACAATACTTAAACTCTATGTGTCGTCGCTCTATCTCATTGACTCATTTTCATAATTCCATCGCTTGTATAGGGAGAAAGTTTGCGATCTGAAGCTCTATCGATTCTATCACATCTAAACTCTATCCCTCGCTCTTTTCATCTAAAGGCTCATTTTCGTCATTCCATTGGCTCTACAGAGGAAAAGCTTGCAATTTGAAATTCTACCAGTGTACAACGCTGGAATCATAAAGCATGGCTTGATAATTACGAGTCTTGGACACGATCGACTCGCACGATTGACGTCGAGTCTTTCTCGATTGCGATCGAACCAACGATCGACGAGGGCTGCGCGAGGTGAGTCGTACCACTATGAATCGCGCGGTGCCGCGTACGTGCAATGATCCGACTCGTTCTTAAAGCGCCACTAAACTTGCGCGTCACGTTCCTTTTAATTACGTCTGCCAACGACGACGGATGCGAAACGGCCGCAGAGGGAGGGACGCAAAGAATTCATTAAACGATACTCTCTGGAACAACCGAGAGCTATACCAGAACCGAAGTGGGACAGGTGCTGGATCATACCTCGAGAAACCGCGAGCTCAACCACGTCTACGACACTACCGATCTAAAAAGGCAGTTACGTATTTTTGCAATCGCGCAGGTGTCTGTTCTGTTGATGAAATGAAGTCGGGAAGCCAGATCGGTGGTTGGAATAAAGTTGGTTTATTTAAGTTTGCAACAGATTGAAGAAGGAAGAGAAAGCATTATTTTTGGATAGAGGAATTTTATACGATTCAACGGTGATTTGTCTGAATTTGTTCGAATTTATATGAAAGGCTGTTTTCGAAAAGGAGAAAATTATTTTTAAATATTTTAAATCACTGATCTAATAGTTGAAAAAATTGACTTCGATTTAACAGAGTACATATGTCTGAATATCGTTTGGTTAGATAATTTGTGGTACACTTTACGAAGTGTGTTAACTACTAGTTGGCAAACCATGCTAAACCAGAATCGAAATGTGTGCATTTATTAATTAAAACTTCACTTTCCTTGCTTCTGAACACATTCACGTACACGCGAAATCTGTCAAATATCTACATATATTATCTAGAAAATAAATTTATTGAATTAATACATTTACTGTAACATATCAAAGAAAGGCCAATGCACTGTAATATTTCATTTTTCCAAATTTTTTAGGTGCAAATACATTGGAGTTAAATTGCAATTAAATCATTCTGAAGTATCTACGTACAGAGGGCCGAGAAAATCTGACTGGTTCCACGACAACCTCGTATTGCAGTCGAGTGCTTAAATACCTACGGAAGGTAGCGCGTTACTCTGGCTATAGCAGAAATCAATTAAGAAGTCGGAAAATTTATCGCGGGTCTACAAGACCGGCTACAGGAACAGTTTCTCAATACTGGCTAACGTTCGTGCCGTCCCGCGGCCTGTCGCGATCACCACTTGCAATTATCAATTCTAATTAACGATCGTCGCGTCCAGAGTTTCATTATTGTTTTTAATTACCAGTCCTACCGGTCGTTTCTCTAAATCACCATTAATGAAACTATCTACCGGCCTGTCACTAGCAAACGGATTTTTCTACGGAATCAGCCCCCGAGGCTCGTGAATCGTGACGCTATTAAGGGAAACCATCGTCCTCGATTTTTCCCGTTAGGACTCATGCGATCAGCTTTATAGCGATTTCATAGCATTTTCATAGCGTTCTCGTGCCAATATCATAGAATTTTCATAACAATTACACAGCAATGCACACAACAAAATAGCGATAATTTTACAAAGCTGCAGAATCGATAGTAATTTGTTATGTCAGCGATATAAACAGTATGAATAGTAATCAAAGATTGATTTGGTTTTGTTTAAGAATTACATTGGAAGACTTATTTGTAAATAGTTTATTTTAGGCAAATAAGAGGATAAAATAGGTAATGCAAATTATAATCAAAAAATCGATGGAATTTTTCTGAAAAATCACGTCGGTGCGATCAGTTGTGCGTAAGAATCACATTTTTCAATTATTATCCACCGCTAGTACGTTCACTCGCACATGTTTCCCTATATAATACTGTATAACGCGCGTAAAAATGCACTCGCTTACATCAAACATTAAATTTTTAAGTCTTCGAGTCAAGTATAGTCCTAAATCAATCTCAACAAATTTACTATCGATAATCATTCGTGTTCATCGCTGAAGGAGAATAAACCCGCAGCTATGAAATAGCGTAACGATAGAATAGAGGAAAGGGTGCGTCGTTAAAAGGACGAACACAGCGGTCGGGCGCTCGGCCAATTTCCACCGATTAGCCACGTAAACTCGTTGAGCATACGCTAACGATGAGAACATTCGAGTAGATGGTACGCGGAACGAGCTCGTTCGCCACTGTGCCTCGGTTCGTATTAAAATATTGGCTTCATTGGTCTCCCGCGTGGAAGGAAACACATGTAATTAAAGACGCTCGCCACAGGGGAGTTCGCGAGTTCCATAAACGGGAAATGCCCATCGTTGCCTACTATCTTTTACCTGGGAAAACTGTTACATAGATAGATTTGCAAAAGAAAGGAATTCTCGACCGGTATCGATAACTATTCCTATAAATATCGTTTTTCTTAATCAGCGTGGATTGGATCGAATCAAAGTTCAGCAGCGGCCAGTCGATCTACATGGAAAGGCACGTGATTTCGACAATAGCTGTCTGTAGCTGTCTGTTCGATAGAAATTGTCGTGTCGCGTTTCTCGAAGACGGAACTGCTGCGAAGGTTCGATACTGGTATTTTAAAGGAATGTAGAGATATCCTTGATATCCGTTTATCGGGTTCTATCTGCACACAGTCGAAGAGAAGAAACAGCAGAGAGAAAGATGGAAACGTTCAGGTTGCAAGAACTCGAAGACACTGGCTATCGAATACGAGAGCAACGAATTTACATTCTCACGACGATTTGCGATCGTCAGAGTTTCGCCAACTATTCCCTAGCGATTGTCCGTTTACACGAACAAAAGATGCGCTTTCGAAGGCTACTGAGACGATTCGTGCAGATATTGCTTCTTCTTGATCGGTTGCGCGATCGTTCGAAGGGAAACGACTCGATCGACTTGTCGTTTCCGTGAATCTGATCTATCCTGCTCATTCGCCGAACGAGATCGGTCGGTCGCGTGTAAGCGTCACGTCAAGCAAGCAGAAATGACTGCAGTCAGGTCCTCGACTCAACCGAGCGCTCGATCCTCGACTCGAAGTCGCGAGTTGAGTTATGACTACGGCCATTACTCGGGACAAACGAGGCTAAGCGTGTCGACACGGCCGACCGACCAGCCTTCTCCACTTCTCCTCGCAGTCATTCTTGATTCACGAGAATTGCGAGTCCAGCTACGTGTGCAGCTTCGTCTCGGGACTTCGATCCGCACACGATTGACAGTTTTAATGCTGAATCGGCCTTCGTTATTAGGGACAACGAGAGTATCGTTGGTTTCCACACGATATTCGTAGACCCAAGGGGGTCTGGTTTAATATCGCGACCACAGGAAGGCAACTCGTAACCCACATTTGATGGTAATTTACGTCGAGACGTCGGACGCTCGTTAGTTTTCGTGTTGTAGCAGATGAGTCGCGTTTCGCGCTAGGCTATTCGCAGAAACGAACGGGAAACGCGACCGACTAAGGAGTGAAATGTCATTCGTGGAATTAAGACCTCTTCGTCTCCAATGGTGGCCACCTGTTCTCCGACATCATTTTCGTGTCTGTTGCTTTTTGCTGTCACTGGATATTGTGAGAAAAAGGATTAAATTACGGATCGATGAGCTATTTATTAAACTTCGTTAGATGAATTTACGGTATTTTTTGATCCAGCAAATTTGTAGCTAGGTGGGTAAAATTGATAATACAGTTCCTAGTTAGCAGGTAGACATGTTCAAGATCATGTCACATCTATCACTGAAGGAGACATCCATTCCTAGAATTATTGACTGTTATCTTTCTTTCTTATCTTTCTTGAGATCCAGCAAATTTGTAGCTTTTTGCCACGATAGGATATTGTGAGAAAAAGGATTAAATTATGAATTGATGAGCTATTTATTAAACTTCGTTAGATGAATTTACGGTATTTCTTGATCCAGAAAATTTGTAGCTAGGTGGGTAACATTGATAATACAGTTCCTAGTTAGCAGGTAGACATGTTCAAGATCACGTCACATCTGTCACTGAAGGAGACAGCCATTCCTGGAATTATTGACTGTTATCTTTCTTTCTTGAGTATCTTTCTTGAGACCCAGCGAATTTGTAGCTTTTTGCCACGATTGGATATTGTGAGAAAAAGGATTAAATTATGGATCGATGAGCTATTTATTAAACTTCATTAAATGAATTTACGGTATTTTTGATCCAGCAAATTTGTAGCTAGGTGGGTGAAATTGATAATACAGTTCCTAGTTACTAGGTAGACATGTTCAAGATCATGTCACATCACCGAAGGAGACAGCCATTCCTGGAATTATTGACTGTTATCTTTCTTTCTTGAGTATCTTTCTTGAGACCCAGCGAATTTGTAGCTTTTTGCCACGATTGGATATTGTGAGGAAAAGGATTAAATTATGAATTGATAAGCTATTTATTAAACTTCATTAAATGAATTTACGGTATTTTTGATCCAGCAAATTTGTAGCTAGGTGGGTGAAATTGATAATACAGTTCCTAGTTAGTAGGTAGACATGTTCAAGATCATGTCACATCTATCACTGAAGGAGACATCCATTCCTAGAATTATTGACTGTTATCTTTCTTTTTTGAGTATTTGAATATTTGTACACTTAGGAGAGAAAATTTTTACGAACACAGAATACTTTTTGAAATTTCATTAGCACTGTAATCAAACACGACTATCGTGATTACATTGATAAAATTTGAAACTAATCTGTGAATGTATATGAGTTTTACCGATATACCGAATAATTGACCATTTAAATAGTTTGATGATACGAGCTAAGTATATGCGAACTATACTTGCGATAAGTATGTCGTAATTTGTATATACAATGAATTGAGGAAAAGTGACACGCGTCCACGCGATTTTAGCAGGACGCCAGCCGATGGGCAAGCTTGCACAAACAAGCGTGAACAGTAATGGCTTGGAAAACGCTCACGTTTGTCCGGTGCCGTTTTCGTCATAATCGTCTCGCCTATAGCACTCGAACGTACGGCCTGTAACTGTCGTGGCTCGTTACTTACTTCGTCCTGAGAACAAAAAAAGAAAAAACATACCGGTTAAAAAAGCATGATCGTGGACAAGCATTTCATTAATAATAATCAATTATCCATTCTCGCGTGCCCGTGTCGCTTCGTTTCTCGCGATAAAACCATGGAAACGAAACGGGACATTTATCGCGTTCCTCCTATCAGCCCTAATGTCAATTAACGGGACGACAATAATGATTTACGATTGCACAGAGTTCGATTCGTTGTTTTCGAGTTGCCGTCAATTGGAAACGGGACGAATCGAATTCCGCAGCGCGTTCAATCCCAGTTTCTATTCACCATTTGTCCCCTTCGAACGTATCACGAAGAAACTATATCGAAGAACAATTCACCGAGACTTTCAAAAGTTAAATTAAAGTTAGAAATAACAACCGGCGTAATAAATCAAACTTTACGTCGTACAAAAGGAATCTCAATACGTTTTTTTCTCCGTCGATTGAACAATACCGAAATTCCTTAAGAAGCAGACTACGCGTTTCGAATCCACAAGTAAGCAACAATAATAACACGTTTGAAAGAATGGCTCGACCGTGGGACAATTACGGCCACTCACAACAGAGACACACAGAGAACATGCGACAGAAGTTCCGTCGATTAAAAGAATCGACGCGAATTTTATTCGGTCTACGTGATCGCATACAGCAACCGCTCACATTTTTCCGCGGCACTCGTTAAGGTGTAACTGCCGGGACCCACGGAATCGTACGAAAAGCAGTCATGCCCCGTGGTTGTATCCATAACCATAAATAATGACCATTGATTGGTCACTCGTCTATCGTTACCCGCGAGTACGTGACTGCGTTTACGTTTCCACGGGTCGTTAGTTCGTTTCCATTAAGGCGCGGTTCTCAGTTGGTCTCGCTTCTGTTCGTTCTCCTTCAATAGCAATCGTTTTAGTCTGAGTAGTCACCGCCGATAAAGATTCGATAAAACGTTGCTATTTCAAACGATTTTAAAGTCAGGTACATGTGTAAATGCTAGATACCACGTCGGTTTCTCGACATAACTTCCGGTACAGCTTTGATACGAATTGCTTTCCCTTGTAATCAACTTGCGTTTATCTCGTTCTCGTGAATTCCATTAGAATTCTTGCGATTGCTGTCTAAAATTTAACGTTTTGACCATATTGTCGTACGATCGAAGCTCAATAATTGCAGAAATCTCCTGACTGGCGATGATAGATATGTCGGAGATGGAAGGACAGCGCGATTTCCCACCTGGAATGCCGGGAAAAACCCCAATACCATAGTCAAGACTTTTACGATAGCTACGTTTAAGCAATAAAAAATAAGAAATAATTTTAAGCTTCCAACCTGGCCTTATGACGATGTGTTCGGGTTCAAGGTGACATAGCGGGACACTAGACAGAGGTATGGAATGATTATATGACTCTCCTTAAAAACAAGGATTGACCCGAGAAGTGGGGACAGGAATATATAATGGCAATTTCATTTGGTTTATGAGTGAGTTAGTTAGTTAGTCGTTGGACGAATTGCCGATCGAGTTATCGAGAAAATTACCCGAATCGTGTATTACGTTGATACTTGTCATCCCGGGGACCGTGGATTCGTTATCGAACCTGAATTCGTTGTCACCATCATCTCGAACATGCTATCGCCGCTATTATTCATAGCCTCTTGTACTGTCCATATTTGTACCGATAAACATTACATCCGCGACGGTAAAGTAAGTAAAGGTTCATCGAACGCCCCAAAATTCCAACCTGACTCCCACAGATATTAAGAACGTGGTAACAAAAATATGATAAGTGCGTTCTTCTTGATTTATCGATTTTAATGTCATTGTATGATTAAACAAGAAAATTGTAATACAATGTCGTTGGGAGGTTTTAAAAATAGCTGGTAAATTGGCCAAGTTTCGCAGAAGCCAAAGGTATAATTATCAAGCTGAAGGGTATTTTAACAGCCTCGATATCCTAATATTATGACCAATAAGATTTTGAAAATTTCCATCAAGAGGATTAAATCAGTTCGCCAGTAAAAAACGGGAAATGCCAGTTATCATGTGCTCCTCCTTAAAACTAACAGGAATCATCCATTATTAACTGCAAACGCTTTGGTCTTTTACTTTGTACGTGATTCGAGCTGTTTCAATCGCAACTTTGCATGCGAGATGGTAAAATTCATGCAAAAGCCAGCACGCAGAACGACCGAAAGGCAGCTTAATTACATCTTCGCGAGGCTGCCAATTTCATCGCTCAGGCGAGCGGATATTCGTTTATACACGCCGGAGAGACGGTTCCAATCGCGAGAACCATTTCGCAGTTTAGAACGGGCAGATGGTTGACGGCGCGGCAAGCGTTAAGAATAATGAGAAATGGAAATTTGTAAATAATATATTGCTGGGGAATACGATTAATGACTTCATTCCTGGCGCAGCTCTTGAGAGGGAGCCGGTTCTTCCGGTGTCAGATCGCTACCAACCATCTTCTCTTTCATGATCCCATGCGTTTTTGATTTCTTTTTTTTTTCTTCTTCGTATTTAGATCGAAGAAAATAAAATACGAGTTTAATTGAATTTTATTTGTTATGTATAATATTGGTTTTAAATCGCTCTGTAATCGTGGGAAAGTTGCATTCACTTCTGTGAGTTGGTAAAGAATTAAGAGTAGAGCTAATTTTTCTGTTCTGATTGAGAAACACCATTCACCAATTACAATAATTCAAAACTTGCGGAGAAATTTCACGTCGAATTCCCGAATAATTCAATTAGCAAATTTTTGAAATTATTTCGGATTTCAGGGATTTTCAAGTATTCGAATCTTCAGGTTTTCAAATTCTTTAATTAACACTAGGACCCGTCAATTTGACGGGTTTCGAACTTCGAAATGAAATACCCTAAAAACCATAGCATTAATTTCAATCATTTTGCATCGTAAGTTGATCATTTCGTCCAAAGAATTTATGCACATTATTATTTTTTCCTAAGCTTTGTAATTTTTCTAATTTGAACGTATCTCTACGAAAGTATCCAGAAAGGAGTTCATATTTTGTTTAGCCGAGGAATTAGCTGAAGAAAACAAGGAGAACATTTTCCAAAGATCAGGCGCTTCATTTCTGTCACCTTGAACGTCAGAAGTGCGAAAAAGTTGCCAATAGAAGCAATAATTGCATTGCGAAAAGATCGTACGCGGAAAATGCACAAACAAAATTCAGCATATTTGTAAAAAAAAATGTGCTCGATAAATACGATCACCCTATACCTTTTTTACTTATTAATAATTTATTTAAGGGGGTATTCTGGTGTAGAAATTTGAGCAAATCGAAAACTTTTTCTTTCATATTTCCAAAGTTTAGACATTCAAGAATATGTCCTTAAAGGATTTTTCAAAATTTCAATTATTTTATGAGTTGCAGTCATTTCTGATTTCTGTGCAGTTTTTCTCGAAACTACTTTTTTCGAGTTGGCTTGCACGATACCTCAAGTTCTCATGAACCGATTTATTTGAAATTTGGTCTGAACATTTCTTATATACTCCTCTATCGTCCGGACCACGCTCAGCTCAAAATCTTTAATATTACTATTTTTTAAACGTTCAGAATTGTCAAAAAAACGTGCGAAATAAGAAATTTTTTTCAAACGGCCGTCATTTTGTAAAAAAATGTTGTATTGACTTTTCCAGGACTCAAACGATAGCGGCATCCATGATAATTAAGAATCCGTTCGCATTTTTTGTTTCGGATGACCAGAAGGGTTAATATCATGCACGCCACGACACCCCATTTTTTTGGCAGCACCCACTTTGCCAGCTCGTAATTTTTTAAATATTGAGTTTTTTTCCAGTGAATTTTTTACGTAATCTCAAAATATCAGTAAACAAATGCTAAAAAGAAGGATAGCAAAAATATTTTTTGTTTCGCTTGTACAGAGCTTCAAAGATCGCCCGAAATTCATGCCTCTAGACCAGAGTACCCCCTTAAACGCGACGCCTAATATTCTCAATTCCGACTCAATTTGAATAAATCGATTTTTTAAAGAAAATGCGTATTTTCGTTTGCCCGTCAATGTAACGGCTGCTCGTAGAAATAAGTACAAAAGAAAGACCCGTAAATCTAGTGTTAAATAGAATCGAATGTTTCAACATTCGAATGTTCGAGGTCTCGAGTTCTCGAAATAAAAATTTCTCCAGTTATTTTAATTTTCTATCTGATATTATACTAAAGAAAATTATTAGCAAAGATCGTGTTCGAATGGTGTACGATCATGCAGGCTGATACGCAGAGCGTTAAAAATAGACGCTATTATTGAAATCGATTGGCCCGCGGTCGTGCATTCAGACCATTGATCTTTCGTCGCCAGTTGCGATATTCGTTCCTGTAGCGAGATAACAAAGATACGAGATAAACGAACGATTCTGCTATCCACACCCGGAGCGCGCATAATTCACCGCGTTACATGTTCGATGTTCTACTTACATTGTTCTAATCACGATACCGCAAGTAAGAAAATCGTTCGGTTATCTTTATTATTAATTATTACATTAAATCGCAGCGTTATCGCAATAGATCTTCAATCGTTACGATATCGATCCCATTGACCCTTATCTGATTTCTATCTAATTGTTTGATCAGAGGATAACAGTGTTACCAACAACGAATTGCCGTTATGTTGCCATGAATTATTACAACTACTCTTATTCGAATGGAAACTATTATTTATTTTATTACTACTTATTAACAAAATCCTCTTATAAAATATAAATTCTCCTGCCCCACGGCCTAAGCGTCATTTCCGGTTATTTCTTACAATCAGCGGGTAATCTAATTATTATCTGCAATAAAAAACTGTTTTTTAGTCAAATACACTTTGATTGTAATTAAACGAAAGATAATATCTAGCAAGGTAAACAAATTTTACATAGTTTTTGCTCTACTTTTTCTCTTTCTTTCGTTATTTATTATAATATTAGATGGTTTGAAAAGTTTCTTTCGTTTTATAAGGAAATAATGGATGCACAA